GACAGGAGACCTGGAGCTGAACGGGTGTTTGTCCCAGGAGGACCCCACTTCTTGGAGTAGCTCCGGGAAGGCGGGGAGGAGGGGCTTTGCCGCCCTCGTGGCCTGAGGCAGCTTCTTTCCCTCGTAGCGGGATCTGACAGCCTCAGTGACCACGGTGGGCCAAGGGATGTTGAGCCTGGTCGCAGCGCGTCGGCAGACTGACTGCATGTCCAGGTGGGCGGCCGGAGAAACCGCTCCATCCCTGGGAGAGGACGGAAAGCTAGGCATGGAGGCCTGAGCGATGGGGAGAAAGACGTCGTCCTCCTCGTCCTCCTCTGAAATGAGGAGTTCCGAGGTGTCCTCGTCGTCTCCGTAGTCCAACTCCAACACATCCTCGGCGGGGTGGCTCGGACCGGCCAGTTCGAGCTGTGAGCCCCAGCTGAGTTCGGCACACGGTTCCGGCTCCGGGAGGACATGTTCGCTGGCGTCCCCAGGCGGTGGCCCAGGGGCCGGCAGGCAAGGGTCCTTCCCCGACAGGCTAGCTTGGCGCGCTAGCCGCCGGCGAAGGCTCTTCAGGGTGAAGCAAGCGCAGCTCTCACATGACCCGGGGACTTCCAATGCCAGCTGGGCGTGTTCCAGCCCGAGGCAGCTCGAGCAGACCCTGTGCGGGTCTTTGCTTGAGATTTTGTTCCCACAGGTACAGAGGCGAGCTCCTGCACCGTCGACTCCTCTGGTGGGAGGAGCGGCTTCCATGTTGGCTAACTGGTGTGTTAGCATAGAACGAACAGATGCACTGGAGTGTGAAGCTGCTCGTTATGCCCCGAGCCTATGGTGAAGGTCAGGACAGAAGGACGGTAAGTTAACGTTCGGCGACGGAGAGAATATTAGAAGGCTCCGTCTGTGAACAGTTGAGCTAACTTACCTCAGAGATAAGCGACCACCGAAGCGAGAAGAGGTGATTGAATAGTGCGTACGTTGGGACGCTTGCTACTTATAGTAGCAGGGGGACGCGTACGTCACGGTCACTGGCCAATCAGGATTGGCGTATTGAGATAAGTGCTTCTGAGGAATCCGCGGAGGGGCGTTTCCCATAGTGAGACATCGAAACGAATGTTAAGAAAGAGAACATGCAGACATATGCTGAAAGCAGACTGCAGAGCCAGGTGTGTCAGCTCAGTTTGTCTCAGTCACAACAGGCTGAAACTTCAAGTGAGACATTTTGGCCACAAGGGGTGGTGGGGTCTGAGGAGCATTTCATTAGCCATGTAAAGGGCCATTTTAGCACATACTGGTTCAAGAAAATGATTTAAAAATATAGAAAAAGTTTCTGAATATGGCTTTAAATCCATTTAGCAAAGTTTAGGAAAAGCTGTGGTCAGCTTTTAAAATCCTGACTGTGATCCAAATAGGGTTAAAATGTGCCAATGAAATATAAGAGGACTATGATAATTACGTCGGGAGTTATTTACTACCAGCATTTACAGTGTGTTAACCTGCCTTTGGCATTTGTCTTTCTGGACCAGTTTAGTTGAAGGATTTCATAACTATTTTAATTCTAGCAACCATTTTGAAGCTCACATCATGAAGCCAGTCTGGTTGCAGACACTTATTCCATTCTTATTCCATTATGAATATAACAAGTAGAAATATTCCTCACGTAGAACGAAACCTCTAGCTTAAATTCAAAAGAATATGTTAGATTAAGGGGAAAAGCTGATTTAACTTGATACTAAACATATTTTTGACATATTGTATTCTCTTGTGTTTGGGATTTCCCAAATCTCCCAATTATCCACCAGCCTCACAGGATAACATGTAAGAAGTCTGGACGTCTGAAGTGTCAATACAAGCAGATTCTGTGTGAGTGCTCAATAATTAAAACTGTAAAGACTTTATGCATGAAATCATCCTGCTGGTTTGTTTAAAAGCTTTCTCTTGAAATGTAAGCAGTCCTTGTTCATTTATTTTCTGCATACAGAGAAGTTTGAAATGAACACATTGGTTAAGAAATGGGAGGAAGAAGAAAGAAGTGAAATAATGAGAGTGTGTGGAAGGGTAGAGAGCTGCTGTAGCTGTGTGGAGGAGAGCAGACACGTCCAATGTACAGAAGATAGAGAAGAGGCTACTGGGCTGTTATGGCAGCCTCCTCTTTAGGACCTAATAATATTTCTAATAAACACTCCCAACACAAGGTGGAGAGGACACAAAGAGGTGTGTGTGTGTGTGTGTGTGTGTGTGTGTGTGTGTGTGTGTGTGTGTGTGTGTGTGTGTGTGTGTGTGTGTGTGTGTGTGTGAGAGAGAGAGAGAGAGAGAGAGAGAGAGAGAGTGTGTGCGTGAGATTAGATCGCTGTGTGTATGTGTGTGTGTGTGTGTGTGTGTTTTGTCTCGAGAGTACCTTATGTGTCTGTCAGTGCAATAAGGGCACAAAGATAGACTTATCTTCACACGCTGACACAAAGATTAGACTCTACACACACACACACACACACACAATGTTAGTGGGTGGGTGGTTTTCTGGGTACACACAATCACTTTGTCATTTCAGTATATACCATCTTTAAATCATCCCACTCATCTCAGCCTTCAGTCCCTCTGTTTATTCCCCCATTCAGGCTGCTGATTCAGCCGCTCACTCGTCCATCAGCTGAGGCACCAAGCCTCCTTCCACCTGATCATCTTGTCTTTATTCCTTTTAGAGGGAATTTTCATTCAGAACAAAACGCTACAGTTTCCCCTCAGTGTGCATGTGTGTGTGTGTGTGTGTGTGTGTGTGTGTGTGTGTGTGTGTGTGTGTGTGTGTGTGTGTGTGTGTGTGTGTGCGTGCGTGCACCTCCAAACAAGAAACAGAATCCAATGTGTCCTATAAAAGTCTGCATTTGTTGTTCCATAATACATCTTCATTTTACCAGCTCATTACCTCCATTACCCACCATAGTAATCTTTTTTTTTTTGCTGTAGGTAACAAGCACACACACACACACACACACACACACACACACACACACACACACACACACACACACACACACACACACACACACACACACACCGTTACCTAGTTCTCTGTGTTTACTTTTAACTTTACACTATAATTAACGGGACCAAGCGGGGCAATGTGACAGTTAGCTTTTTCAAGTGATTGTTCAATTATTGAAGATTTCTGTTGAAATATTGTGTTTTTCTCTACAGTAGGAAGATTTTTCAACAACCTCAGTTGGGAGAAACAGCCATTTTTCTGATCTGCTAGGCAAAATGATGCTAGTTCTCAAATGCCACCTCAGAAAGGTCTCTCATCTCAAAAATATTGCTGTACTGTATAAATGCTCTTTCATTTATTTTTACACATCTGTCAGCTTGTTATTACAGTTGTTTACAACAGAAATGAGCAATAGTCAACTGGAGCATGCCCAGTTCTTATTCATACCAAATAATCTATGACTGTACAATCATGTAATTTGCATCAGTCTAAATAAAACTTTCAGATTAGGTTTGTTTTAAGGAGTGTACTAACCCCATTAATGACTAGCTGTTTACTGTTTACCGTTTGACCACAGCAAATCTAATCTATTCAGTCCACCACAGGTGAAATGCTCTTGAGTGACTAAATAATAGTAGTTGTTAAAGCTGCTTTAGCAAATCTGCAAACAAGCTAGGCTTTGAACGCAAACACGGAACAATACTTCTGCCTGAACCAGAAACCTGCATTGTCAGAGGAAACAAGATGGCTCTGAACACCAGTCACTGTTTTCTAGCTCCAAACGGTCTTCAGTTGTCCGTGACTTCAAACGGTGGTTTTTTGGGAGGGACTCGGGTAGTTTGTTCTAAAGTTGAAGTGGTAGCAGCTAGCTGTTTCTCCTTCTGAAAATACTGAGTGGGGTACCTCTCACACTAGCGGTGTTCTGCTGCTAAATACAAGGGTGTGTAATGAGTAGAGGACCCAGGGAATTACAGAGGTTCGGCGAGATGGACAACCTGATGGTCCAATAGTTGCTTTCGGTCTGAAACATGTTAGGTTTTTAGGCAAATGTAAAATGTGTTTATTTTTTTGTCTCCAGAATATATTTACAGCTTTACTATGTTAGAAGGTTTAAAGAGTCATGAAAAAACAGTTTGGAGCTAATTTGTTTTCAAGACTTGCTACTGTAGCTTTAACTGTAATTTAATTTTGAGTGAACATGGTTATTATAAAGGTGTTGTTTATTAATACCTGTTGTTTTTGGACTGCCATGGTTTATAGCACAAATGAACCTGGGGATGGTGGTGGACCAGACAGATGGTCAACACTGAATTTTACAGCCCCTAAAAACCCTGTTTTTTCTCAAACTTTATTACTAAAATTTTACATTGATTAAAATGTGTTTTTTGTTCCTTTATTTCTACATTGGTACCTTCAAAAAAATTGTTTTGCTCTTCTTAAAATGTAAACTACAAAAACTTTTCTTGGTTTCAGCTCAATTTAGACACAAGTAAATATAAGATGCATGCAGGAACGAAAACGGTGCTCTCTTTGTTTCTTTTTATTGGTTTTGTAATCATTTCTGCTGAGTCCCACCTCTCAGAAAACAATCTCACACATTAATGCACATTTTTAAACATCCAACTCACTTCATGTGGCTTTTGGTTCAAGCACAGAAACACAGTCATCTACTGAGAATTAAGGAAATATATGCAGAACAAAATGTTTGTTTTTGTTTTGAAAACTATTAAGTAATAAATAAATAAATAGGCTGAGAGCTAAAAAAAATCTGCTGGTTGTTCAGTTTTATATTGGAGCTGAGATATCACCCTGCAGCTCCCAGGCCTGTTAGAGGACCTGAAGAGCCTCCCACTGTATCGTGGAGCTCTGCTAGCAAGAAGGTCAGAAGCGACCCCATGACCTTTGGGGAGCTCTCTGTAACTAAGATATCAGCACCAAAATTGTACACATTTTAGCATCAACACCTTACAGAAACTGAATCTAGAAACCTGACCGGATTTGTTTCCTAAAAATATTTTCCTTCTTTTTCTCCTGGATTTTCTAGGCGAGGCTTCGGCCAACACGAGGTAGGGGATTTTCAGTTTTTACTTCTCCCAATTGTTCGTCCTCTTATTATTATTTTATTTTTAAGTTGTTGCTCTTGTTTTTAATTATTTTAATTCCTTTGCTTTTTGCCTTTTTTTCTTTGCTTGTGTCTGTGGGGTGCAGTGAAGATGACGTGTCCTTTCTCCCTGGGTTAGCTGTTATTTTATATGATTTTGCATTGTAACTTTTACTTTGTTGGTTTTAATTTTCTGTGTTTATTAAGTTGTACAGCACTTTGGTGACATGATTCATGTCTGTGAGGTGCTCTAGAAAAAAAGGCTGAGTTGAGTTATCTGTTATTATTTATTCTATATTTTACATTTTCTTTCTAACATTGAAAATGATGCAGAGCTGGTCAGGACCGTTCATCTTCATTGCTAGATGTACTTTTAAAAATGTATCTCCACACTTATGTTTTCCCTTCACTGTTTTCTTTTCACTCTGACAGACACAACATCTTCTCCGGCCCTCTCTGCTCAGGCCAGAGGTATTTTCTCTCTCTCTCTTACTCTACAGCTCTATTTTTCCATCTCTTCTCTACAAACAAACAAGTGTCTAATAATGCTGCTAATAGTGTTTTTTATTTATTTGACAGGAGTTATCTGTGGAATCAGGCATTGATCCCGGCCAGGATTACTACACGCAGGATTATTACAACTACGACCATGGGTTGGTATACCTCTGATCCTGTTCTTGTAGGTTCATGAATCTGAATCGGATTATTCTCTAGTTGCAAACTGTTTAAAATGTGCTTCCAATTTGTGACAAGAAGATTAAGAATAAAAAAAACAGAAAGCTGAATTTTATTTGAGCTGAATGGACAACACATTTTCAGTGATGAAAACTAAAACTCCTAACTACCTCATGAGGGACAGCAGAAGCTTCGGAGGTAGAGCGGGTTGTCCAGTAATAAGAAGTTTGCTGGTTCGATCCCAGCTCCGAGCAAAGAATGCTGCTGTTGTGTCGTGGGCAAGACACTTAACCGGCCTTGCCTGCTGGTGGTGGTCGGAGGAACCGGTGGTGCCAGTGTACGGCAGCCTGGCCTCCATCAGTGCGCCCCAGGGCAGTTGTAGCTACATCGTAGCTCATCACCACCAGTGTGTGAATATGTGTGAATGAGTGAATGACCGATTGTGTTGTGAAGCGCCTTGAGAGGTTGGAGAACCTTAAGATTGCGCTACACAAATACAGGCCATTTACGTCCTCATGATTTCATAACACTCACTACCATCTCTCCTGAACAAAGCAAAGACGAGGGCACCTTCCATATGGCGTGGCAGAATGCGTTGCGATAAAAAATATTGTTTTTAGCAGCATAACATACAAAAAATGCATTAAATCAAACTTAACTTTAGAATGAATTCTACCCTATCTATCCCTAAACCTAATGCACACAATTAGGGAAAGTTAAACACATTAAAGCTACAATAACAAATTTGGAAAACAGATTAGCTTAATTTTTTTTTTCATGCCTCTTAACAACATTCTAACACAGTATAGCTATAAATATAATGTTGGAAAAAGATTAATGAAGTGGTTCTCTCACATTTGTCAAAAAACCTTCACCAAATAACATGGCTTGGGCCAAAAGCAACGATTAGACTATCCAGTTGTCGGTCTCGCCAAGCCACCGCATTTCCTTGGGTCCTCCATTCATTACACACGTATTCAGCAGCAAAACACCACTGGTGTGAGAGGTTCTCCGCTCAATAATATCAGAGAAGGAGAAACAGCCGGCTGCTACCACTTCTACTTAAGGACAAACTACCAGAGTCCCAAAAGGTAAAACACCATTTGATGTCATGGACTGTTGCAAGCTCCCGCATGCCAGAACCACAGAAGGTAATAAAGGAGGTCACAAAGGAAGAGGACACAATGGGAAAGGCCACATGGAAAGCAAAGATAAGCGGAGCCTAGCGAAGCCTGCTGATGCGAGTGGAATCGAGGCAGGTGAAGACAGGAAGTGAACCAACTAAAGAAAGCATCACAGGATGCGATGCCCTCTTTGAGGAAGCTTGAGCTTTGGGTGGACCTGAAACCACCTTACAAATAACAAATGATCACATTGTTTTGCTGTCTTGTGATGCAAATGACAAATTATTATATTGTTTAGCTGTCTTGAGGTTAACCGATATATGTAATGCAAAATACGTCACTCTGAAAAAGTGCTTGTAACATGAAAATGCTATACAATGGAAAATGCTTTGCTTTGCAGTTTTTAGAAAGATATATAAAGAACAGTTAGAAGAGTCAGAAAAAGAGTAAACGGTAGCAGTAATAGAAGAGGAAGTAGCAGCGACAGTTGCAGGAAGAGAAAGCAGCTTTTTCCTCAGGGAGAGTTAGACGCAGCATACTCGAAAGGGGATATTTAATCTTAGCTTTACGCTTTTTGTATTTTTTTAATTTTGAAATAAAATTTTTGGAAAAAGAATCCTCGTTCTTGATTCTTAAAGGGCTCTTTATCCTTTTGAGTGGGAGCCCCAACCAGACCTAACAGGAGAGGTAAGCCGCCTTATTGCTTGTACCTGCTTCTCAGGACTTGTTTTTCAGGTTGCGACAGATTAATAAAAGATACCTTAGGTAATGGGAGCCATGTCTCCCCTCCTCCCTAGAGTAACGGGACAGCCTAAGGGTGATGTTTATGTTTATTTATGTTCATTTATTTGGAAGACGCTTTTATCCAAAGCGACTTACAGTTTATAACAGACCTGGGCATTTTACGGCCCGCGGGCCACATCCGGCCCTTTGGTTGACTTTGACCGGCCCGCGTAAGGTTAATTGGAAATTACAAAATAAATGTATTTTCTCATTTTACCTCATGCATGGGCTAAGGCTGCATTGCTTTTATTTTGAAGTTGTTTTTTACGTGCACAATGACGCAATACGTATAGCAACAAGTGCCCGCGGTTGACATGGTGATTGTAGCCTGAGAAATGTCCGCTCATGCAAAAAAAAAAAAAAAAAAAAAAAGAAAGATGCCGAATGCAGGATTTTCAACAAAAATTGGACTGCTAAGTATTTTTTTTACTGAAGTCGGAGGTAAAGCCGTGTGTTTGGTTTGCGGGGAGGAGATTGCCGTGTTTAAGGACTACAATTTGAGTCGGCATTACGACAAGAAACACTCGGAAAAATACAAGAACTTGTCTGATGCTGAGAGCTGAGAGGGCACGGACATCCGAAGCTTTGCTTGCAAAGTTGCAAAAGCAGCAAGGCTGTTTTACTAAGCTTCACACATCCAGGGATGCAGCAGCCAGGACCAGCTTTGTGATATCCCACAAAATAGCTAAAAACAGCAAGCCGTTTTCGGAGGGAGAGTTTGTCAAAGAGTGCATGGTGGACTCTGCGCACTAATATGCCCTGAAAAAAAAGGCGCATTTGAGCAAATCCCGCTGTCCAGGCGAACCGTGACCAGGAGGATGGAGGACATTGCGGGGAACCTGGAGCTTCAGCTGCAACGTGAAGTGGCAAGTTTTGACTATTTCTCATTAGACGGGAGCTGTGATGTCCGGGACACAGCCCAGCTGCTCGTATTTGTCCGGGGATAACGGACTTCAAGCTCACAGAGGAGTGGGCAGCAATGCGGTCGATGAAAGGGACAACGACAGGGAGTGATGTTTCTACAGAGGTAAATGCGTGCACGGACACTCTGGGATTGAAATGGGAGAGACTGTCAGGTGTCACAACAGACGGTTGTCCAAATCTTAAGCCGGGCGTACACTGTGCGACTTTTTCACTTTTTTGAGCCGATTTTCCAGTCGTGCGAGAAGCCACGACATCGGGGCGAGTTTTGCGCCGAGCGGTCGTGTAGTGTACAGGGGGTTACGAGAGGCGATTAACACCACGTGACCAGCCGCCGATCAGCAGTCGTGAGGTCGCACTCTGGTGTGTTTAATATTTCGCTCGTCCCTCGTGAGGGTATCGCACTGTTGAAGCGGCGCTGCGAGCAGCTGCGACCCAAAAAGTATCAGAACCGCTCACGGCGCATGCGCGCGCAATCCTGCATCAACGCCGGTCGCTCGCTATTTCCCTAATAACACACGCTGTTCGTTTTTGTTTCTACACGTTTTTTTTACTCACAAAGATTGTCAAGAAAGCGTGTTTGTCGTGTTCATGTCAAATTAAACTGATCACAAAACACAGATTTGCCTTCTTTATTTCGTTTTCCTCATCCAACCCCTATAAATCCCTGTGTGTCCTCCTGCAGCACTCCCGAAGGGCAACAGGCAAGACAAGACAAAAAACTCTGACGTGTTGAGTAAAAACTGCTATTTTTAGCACATTTTTAGGGCCGACGTGTTGCTACCAGACGTACAGTGTGAGCAGTCAGGTCGCATCCGAGAACTGGGTCGTACAGTGTGAGCACATGACTCGTGAGATCTGCTCTGCAAGGAAGTCGTACACTTTGAGCTGAAGCTGAGTGCTGCGAGTGAAAAAGTTGCACAGTGTACGTCCGGCTTTACATGGAAAAATGTCGGACTTTTGAAACGCATGCAAGATAAAGTGACAGAAATCGATGCAGATCAAAAATAGGTGTTTTTGCATTGAATTATACACCAACATGTGTTGTGCAAGTCAGTGCTAAAAATCAACCATGTTACTGAGTTTGTTACTAAAATAATAAACTTCATCAGGGCGCGGGCAATGGATCACAGACAGTTTGTGGCTCTTTTGGAGGACTCCACACAGCTGTCAGATGGCTCAGCCTGGGGAAAGTGCTGAAGAGGGTTTGGGACTTGAAAGCAGAGATTCAGGATCTCTGCTGGATTTCTACTCTTCTCTTAAGGAGGACTTTCCAAACCTGAAGAGACATGCTCAGAAGATGTTGGTTCTCTTCAGCTCTACCTACATTTGTGAACAAACATTTTCAATGATGAAGTTTACAAAATCCAGGTATAGATCCTCTCTCACTGATGATCATTTGTCAGCTGTGCTTCGCTTCTCCACCTCAGACATCCAACCTGACTTTGATGCACTCGTTAAAGCCCAGCAGAGACTAGATTTCTCTCACTGAATAAGAAAAAAATCACTTAAAAACACAAAATAAGGTGTTTGGACCACAAATGTAGGCAACTAGCAGTGAACTGGGACATTTTTTTTAAACCTCTTTCTCAAGATCACAGTTCAGTGATTTTATTTTACAGACAATACTGTGTGTCTGTAGAATGCTAAGAACCTCTTTCCAACAATATTTGAAACTCAGAATGTGTTTTGGAGTGAATGTGACTGAAACTGTTAACTAATATAAGTCACAAATGTTTAACAAAAACCAAATGTGCACACTTTGTTTACCATTGCCTTGGGAAATTTGAATAAATCACATTTTTGTAAGACAACCTCACTTTTTCCTTTTTGCTCATTTATAACATGTAGTCTACTCTTACCAGCTTGAAGAAACAATGGTATTTACTGCTTTTTATAAAGAAATACCATTAATATTATGCATAATTGACTTCAGCCTTTTGGCCTGGCCCTCCACAATATTTTCTATTTCTCATGTGGCCCCATGGAAAAAATAATTGCCCACCCCTGGTTTATAACCTATAGGGCATGTTGTTATCTGTGGGGGAAACCGGAGTACCCGGAGGAAACCCACGCATGCATGGGGAGAACACGCAACTCAACGCAGAAAGGCCGCAGCCTAGTTTTGAACCTGCAACCTTCGTGCTGCG